ATAGTTAATAACACGCGTTGTATTCTTAAAAATTGCTGGCTGGGTGCAGTGGCTCACACCTGTAATCTTTGGGAGGCCGAGGAGGGTGGATCACCTGAGGTTGGGAGTTTGAGACCAGCCTGACCAACATGGAAAACCCCATCTCTACTAAAAATACAAAATTAGCCAGGCGCGGTGGTGCATGCCTGTAATCCCAGCTACTCAGGAGGCTGAGGAAGGAGAATCACTTGAACCCAGGAGGCAGAGGTTGCGGTGAACCGAGATTGCGCCATTGCACTCCAGCCTGGGCAACAAGAGTGAGACTCTATCTAAAAAAAAAAAAAAAAAAAAATTGCTAAGAATAAATTGTAAGTGTTCTCACTATTAAAAAAAAAAAAACCACGATAACTATGTGAGGTAATGCATATGTGAAGTAGCTTGATTTGACCTCTCCACAATGAATACATATTTCAAACCATCATATTGTACATGATAAATATATAAAATTTTGTCATTTAAAATAAATAATTTTTTTAAAATAATAATAAAATGAAAACAGGATATGTTAAACCAATGCACTGGGGATGGCAGAGAAGAAAGACGGAAGTGCCTGGTTCTTTACATTGTTTTCATGCCTGAACTAAGCCACTCTGCATCCTCCTACCTACACACATGGTTATGTGAATTAACAAACCCTCATTGTTTAAGCCTCTTTAAGTTGGGTATTCAATCACTTGCAGCTAAGATCATTCTGATCCACACTCCCTCCCAGACTCCAACACACATAGCCTATAACTTGCCTCCACTTTACTTGGGTTCCCAATGCCTCCTTAACCTTCTGTTTGGTTGATAGTAGAGACATCACTCACAAAAATGCCCATGGCTCTCTTACTGCCTGGGGGATAAAATTCATATCTGGAAAAATCAAACTGTGTTCCCTCACCTGGCCTCTCTCTAGCTTATTATTTTGTTTTACTTATAACATTGTCATTGCAAAAGTAAATTAAAGTGGATAATACCTGAGCCGACAAAGCCAGTTAGGCCTCATAAGTGACCTTATCATTGCTTGATTTACAAACACAAGTAAAACTAAACTTAAGCTACTTCTTGTGAATGCCTGTGTTAATGAAAAATGGAACTGAAGTCCAACCAAAAAAAGCTGCCAACAAACTTACACAACAAGGGACTCTTCAGTGGAACTGATGAAACAAGGCAACTTTATAACTGTAACCAATCAAATATTTTCCTTGTATCACTTCTTCATCTCTCTATAAAAGCCTGTGTCTTCAACAGACCTTCTGAACCACTTCTGCTTTGGAGCTGCCTGATTCATGAATTGCTATTGCTCAAATAAACACTTTAAAATTGTATTGTGTCACAGTTTATTTTTCAACATCACAAATGGAAATTACATTGGGCATTTATGTGCTATGAATTTATTACCTGTTTATTATCTATTTTCAATGTAAGTTCCATGAGAATATAGACCTTGCCTCTTTTAACCACAACTGTCTCATCAGCATAAAGATCACGGCCTAGCACATCATAGTGGATGCTTCAAAATTATTTTATGGATGCATAAATGATTGGCTGACCACAATCTACCTTTCCCACATGCTCTTCCTAAATACTTCTTCATAAAATGAAACCCCTCTCTCATCCATGAAACAGTAACAGTGTATCATTGTATTAGTCTGTTCTCACATTGCTATAAGGAACTACCTGAGACAGGGTAATTTATGAAGAAAAGAGGTTTAATTGACTCACAGTTCCACAGACTGTACAGAAAGCACAGTTGGGGAGGCCTCAGGAAACTTACAATCATGGCAGAAGGCAAAGGGGAAGCAGGTACATCTTCACATTGCAGAGCAGGAGAGAGAGATAGAAGGGGGAGGTGTTATACACAAACAGATCTCACGAGAACTCTTTCACAATACAGCACTAGGAGGATGGTGCTAAACCATTAGAAAATACCCCCATGATCTAATCACCTCCCACCAGGCCCCACCTCCAACCCTCCAACATTGAGAATTAGAATTCAACATGAGATTTGAACGGGGACACAGATCCAAACCATATCAACCATGCAGGCCTCAGTGTGTCCCTGCTCCAAGTCTTTGTTCCTACAGAGTAGGTCACCACATGACCTACTTCTGAGGGTCAGTAAGGGACACTAGAAAGACCAAGGTAATTGACTCAGCTTGGAATCCTAGCTGTGCCACTACATAGCTGTGGGACCCTGGGCACATTACTTAAAGCCTCTGAAATTTAGCTGCTTTGCTGTAAAACAACGCTAAGATAACCACCTTAGCAGAGTTTATTTGCTTGTGAATTTTACAGTAGATTCAATAAGACAGTTTAGAAAAGGGACCTAAATATGATGGCCCCTCTCCTTCCTTTGTTGTTCTTCCTCTTCAAAACTTTCATTAATCCAGCCGGGCGCGGTGGCTCAAGCCTGTAATCCCAGCACTTTGGGAGGCCGAGACGGGCAGACCACGAGGTCAGGAGATCAAGACCATCCTGGCTAACACGGTGAAACCCCGTCTCTACTGAAAATACGAAAAACTAGCCGGGCGAGGTGGCAGGCGCCTGTAGTCCCAGCTACTCGGGAGGCTGAGGCAGGAGAATGGCGTAAACCCGGGAGGCGGAGCTTGCAGTGAGCTGCGATCCAGTCACTGCACTGCAGCCTGGGCGACAGAGCGAGACTCCGTCTCAAAAAAAAAAAAAAAAAAAAACTTTCATTAATCCAACAGCCACACAATCTCTGACTTCTCTCTGACTACCCACAAGATTCCATCGCTGACCACTGATACTTCCTGCTTTGTGTCACTGTACGTCTGCAGCCATGTCCCCCTTCCCCCCACCCCAACCCACCCCCCACCCCAGAATGTAATTCCCTCAGGGCAGGGGCCATGTCTCCTTCATCTACATCTCCAGAGTGTTTGGCACATAGTAGATACTCAAGAAGTATTCGTGGAATGAGCACACATGTGAGTAATAAAATAACTGAAGTCAGTAACATCAGGGTTATGGCTAACCATGGGAGAGACGGGAGCAAGTGTCCAGGTCCACACCACAGAAGGGTGTTCTGTTAACCTGTCCAGGGGCCAATCACACCTTGGAAACAGGCAAAATGAAAGGAAATCAAGCAAGGCGCTGAAAACAACAGGTGTAACTCTGGCAGCTTTTCTCTCTGCTGCTCAGTTCTTCACCTGTGAAATGAGAGGGCTGAGCCAGATGGTCTCTGGGGATTACAGCAAAGTGGGAGGAGTGTGAGGTGCAGAGCCAGACTCACCTGGGTTTGAATCTTGCTGCCTCTGGTGGCTAGCTGTGTAGCCCTACACTCATCACTTCCCTTCTCTGGGCGTATCTCCTCAGCTGTTCAATGGCATTAATGACACCTAATTGATAAGGCTGTTGAATGGATTCAGTGAAACGGTGAGCACACAGCTGCAGGCCTGAGGCCCAGCAGAGAGAAAGGGCTCTATTGCCTCTCTCTTTTCACCTCTGCCACTTCCACCCCCAAAGATCCTGTCCTCGCCCTTGACCAAGCATCTCAAGTACCAGTCAGAGCTTCCTCTGCCCTGAGTGTAAGGAACTTCATCCTCCCATCCAACAACCCCTTCCATGGACCAATGCTAGACCTGACTTCTAGGGGACTCTGGCCTCTTCACTGCAAAGGTCACCAAACTAGTTCATTTTTCTCCTGGCACAGCAAAATTCTCCTGTCCAGCCCTAGGAGAGGGATAGGTCTAAGCAGGGTCATGTGACTCCCTTGGCCACAGAATGTGAGCAGAAGGTCTATCAACCCCTTCTACTTCTGATTCATCAAAATTTCTCCTTTGAACAGAAAACCAAATACTGCACGTTCTCACTTATAGGCGGGAGTTGAACAATGTGAACACAAGAACACAGGGAGGGGAACAACACACACTGGAGCTGGTCAGGGGGTTGGGGGCAAGGGGAGGGACAGCATTAGGACGAATACCTAATGCATGTAGGACTTAAACCTAGATGATGGGGTGATAGGTACAGCAAAGCACCAAGGCACATGTATACCTATGTAACAAATTTGCACATTCTGTGCATGTATCCCAGAACTTAAAGTAAAATTTAAAAAAATAATAATTTCTTCTTTGCTATCTCCCTTTCCCCAGAAAACTTGGAGCCAATGATTGGAGAATGGTGGCATCACTGTTTGAAAGGAATCTGGGTCCCTAAATGACTACGTTAGAATGTGATGTGGGTGAGATATTATATGTTCCCCAGATGATAGGGTTTACTTGTTACTGCAGCACAGCCTAGTCCACCCTAACTAAATCAGACAGCCTGACACCTCCAAGGAGCACAGCTCCTAAAATGGGGCATCTTTACCTGTTCCTTCTCTCGGGATGAGTCCCTCCCTCTCCTGACTCACTCTTCTCAGGGGGTAGAGACCAGCTTTCCCTACCCCCAACCTCCCACCCCTGCCCTCTATGAAAGATCTGTATTCTAACATCCAAATTCACATTCACAGTCTCTTCCAGGGTATCCATCCCTCTTGAGAAAATTATTTCCTCGTGGCCAGCAAGGCATCATGGAGCTCCCCAGGGGAGGGCTGTGATCAGGTCCTGCCATCATATTTTCTGCACCATCTTGTTTCTGGACCTCAGTTTCCCTACATCAGAAAGCCCTGGAATGCTTTTCCTGATCTGATATTTGCAAGCTGTGGAAAGCACATCTGAGAGCAAATGAATGCCTGAGGCTGACAGCCAGCAGACTGCACCCCAGCCCAGCCTCCCCCACACACGACCATAGGCTCTCCTGGCTGAGTAAACACGTTTTATTGGGCCTGGGTACACTTCCTGGCCATTCTGCTCCCACCTTCCCTTCCCCTGCTCTGGCCGGTTCCCCAGCACAGCCCCTCCCTGGGGCCACCAATACCTGTCCTTCAGATCCCCACTGCCTCCTGCCACTTTCCTACCCTGACACCTGTATCCCCAGCCTTAAGGGGCGTGGAGAGTTTCTTCTCTTATCAGCCTGTTTTACTACCCCCTCCTCCTTGGTTACACAGTAATTTGGAGCAAAATTCCTGGCAAGGACAGATCAACAAGTGTCAGCTCCCAGTCGGAGAGAAAGGGCCTCTTCAGTTCTGTCTCAGGAGACTGGGAGAAGCAGCAGAAAGGACCCCACAAGGAAGGGAGAGGTACCCTGGGTCAGGTGCCTGTGGAGAGAGGGCTTCACATGTGAAGTGAGGTCAGGAAAAATAGAATAGAACAAAGCCAGGGCCAGCCCAGAGACACCTAAGAAGAATCAGACTCACAGCTCAGCCCAGCCCTGGCACAGAGAAGAGACAGGCCTGGCAGCACCCAGGGACCCCCTTTCCTCAGCCTCCACCTGCAGGACAGCAGGAGCACTGATGCACTGAAGGTATGTTCTGGAGTCTGGACGCAGCAGAACTGAAGGAAGTAAAGATGGGTGTCTGGGAAGACGGCTCAAGCTGCAGTAAAGCCCAGGACTGAATTGGCCGCCTGAGGCCAAGGGTGGCACTCCAGCCTCCCGGAGGCTGGCTAGAGCCACAGGAAAGGGCCAGAAGCCAGAGAAAGGGCAAAGGTGGACACCCTGCCTCCATACCTCCTCTGGAGACTGACCTCCTCTTTCCTGTGCCTTATTGTTTCTCCCTCTTCTCTTTGTTCGCCACTGGGCAGTGACCTCAGGGATCCTGGCCTAAGCTGGTGACTGTGCAGGCAATGCATCCGAGAAGACCCTTCTCTGGAAGGCTGAACCCCAATTCAGCCATGGTGACTCCTTTGACATCAAACTGGTAAGGGCTGTGAGCTGTAGGCACAGGATACCCCTCCTTCCAGCTCTTCTGTTGTCATCTGCCCATGGAAATCCCTGCAGACGCGAAATCCTGCTTGGATCATCTAACTGGAGACTCTCTGTTCTTCACCTCCACGCGCCCTCTTGACCCCAGGAGGTTCAGGGGAGGAAGTACGCCAGTCTCCACTGGCACCCTCCTTGGCCTACAGAGTCACCCCTGAGCCCCTCAATGTGTGCTGAGGTGGGCCCTGCTCTCTGCAGGGGTATGGAGAGAAACAGCTTGGGGTGCTCTGAGGCCCCGAAGAAGTTGGGCCTGTCCTTCTCCATCGAGGCGATCCTAAAGAGGCCTGCCAGGAGAAATGACATGGACAGACCAGAAGGGCCAGGCGGAGAGGGCCCCGGAGAAGCTGTGGCCTCAGGCTCTGGGCTAGAAAAGCCTCCACAGGACCAGCCCCAGGGTAAGTGTCTCCTGATCATTTCTTTCTGTTTCCTGGTCTCTAAGACCCAGCTGGGCTCAGGCAGAGAAAACACTTTTCTGTCCATATCAACTGGATAGAGGACTCTAAAATTCAGAGCAAGACCTGGCTCTGGGCTGGTTTCCTGATACACCTTTCAATCTAACCCAAAACTGTGATTTTTCAGCTCAGTTAGCTGCAGAATGCAGGGACCTGGGGTTTGTTACTGTAACCAGGCCCCGGCTAAGAATGCTAGTTACCGTTTATTCAGCATTGACAATGTCATAGGCATTCTCTTTTAATTTCAGTAGAAAAGCACGATTATCATCACTGGACAGATAAGAAAACTCATCTGTGAAAGAGAAGAGGAGGATAATGTCCCCAAGTTACGTAGCTGGTAAACAGAAGCCCCGCTATCAGGACCCGGCTCTGACTCCCCCAAATCCCTGCTGGGTCCAGCACAATCTCCTCCTCCTAAGCCGAGTTCAGTCTGCAAAACTTCCAGGGGCTGAAGCTTTGGCTTGGGAAAAGTCCACCCTAATCACCTTCCCCAAGCCAGTGGCCATCTCAAGGCCTGTCCCCAGATAACAGTGACCAGGTAGATCAAGAGCCAGCGTGAGGAAAGGAGGAAAGCCGCACTGGGACATCGAGGTGGACGCACACACCTGCTAAGAGTTAGGAACCCAGGGTGTGAGCCTTGGCTCTGCCGTGGCCTGCTGTGTGACCTCAGGAAAGTCCCTGTCCACTGCAGCCTCAGGTTTATTCTCGGCAAAACACTTGGGTGAGGGAATAAGAAATGGTGAAGCTGGTGATGTCTCAAGGGCCTTCTGAGTCTGACAGTCACCGAGCCTGGAATATCTCACATGAGGTTCTCAGTTCTCTCCCCTTTTCCGCTCTTTTAATCCAAGAAAATGCTGGAAAGGAAGCTCAGGGAGCCCTTAATGTCATTACCTGCCATAAATAGAGCTCCACATTCCCCCGACCAAGCAAGTCTCCCATGGAGGGAGCTGATGAGGGATCGCACTCAGCTGCAGGGTTGAGGAAGACCAGGAGGGTTGTGTGTCCACAGGCAGGAGGCTGCTGTGTTTCCCCGTGGCTGAGTTTTCCAAAGGGAAAGGGTCCCCAGCTTAATTTTTGGAAGTTCATTAATATCTTCCAGTCCATTAAAGATTCATAGACACATTTCCACTTGGGGTCCTGAGTCTCTCCTGCTGCAGTTGTACAAATCTATGATCACCCTGTGTCATGAGAGAGAGGTCTCGCCTTTCCTACCAGAGCAGCTTCCCTTCCCCTAGCCTGATGACGGCAGGCTTCAGAAAGGAAGCCACTCTTTCTAGGCCTCAACGGAAGATTCTGGCATGTTCCGTGTCAGCTATCCATCTGGTCCCAGAACAGATCCCAGTAAGTGCCGACCAGACTAGCGGTGGTGACATCGGATGGTGTTTTATGACTTCCACAGCACTTTTGTGGCCATTTTCCCACCTCATTGTCACACTTGGGAGCCCATCTTACAGATGATGAAACCAAGAAGAGAAGATAAATCCCCCACAAAAACCATGTGAGTAATGAACACTAGAATTGAACCCTGGTGGCCTGAGACCATCTACTCTAGATTATTCCTGAACATAGTTTAAATCCATCCATCTCCCACTATGCTGAAATTCAGTATTTCTGAAAGCGTGGAGAGGGTCCCGCTGGCAGCTCTCAAGATGACCTTGGTGGGTATATAGATAAAGATGATCTAGCTCAATAGTCCTGTAATTACTTCTACACTAACCTTGTATTTATGATGAAAGACACTGCTATCCACGTATGGTCATGATATAAGGTATTATTTTAAAATACATTTATCATTTGAGTCAAACAAAAAAGTCTATTTGGGAAAATGCTAAACAAATAATACAGATGGGATCCGAACATGCCAGAAACTATACAAAAGAAATGCAGAAATTGCAAATGAGCTGGAGTCTGTGAAACACACTGGGTGAGGAGGGCAGGGATTCAGGAAACCTGCCCTCTAAGCCCAGATCTGGCCCCAGTGCACAAGAGGACCTCAGGCCAGTCACTGCCCTCTCTAACCTCAATCTCCCCACCTGTAACATGAAAGGGCAGGGCTAGAATATTCATAAGGTCTCTCCCAGCTCTGACATGCCATGACCAATTTCACAGCAAATTAGTTGCTGAAAAACCTTGGAGGATTCCCTCGTGGTGATTTTCCACCGTACAGTCTTTCTCCCCGTGGAAGGGATGGTCATGATCCCAGGCAGGGCAGGAGCAGAGAGGCTGGAAGGCCTCTCCCTACGCTCACAGGAGCCCTCATGCCCAGCCCTGTGCTTATGGCTGCTGGCTGATGCTTCTCTACTTCCCTGTTTTATGTGCCTCCTCTTGTGCAGGACCCCACAGCAGAGAACAACAGGACCAGAAATAGCAACACCTTCTCCTTCCCCAAGAATAATGGTAGAGGAATAAGTTCCTCTTTGTCTCCACTTAACGTTTAAAAGGCTTCCTAGACTGGCTCACAGACAACCCTTGCCATCTCACCTAGGGAGCTATTAAAATGCAACCTGTCAGGCCCAGCACCCAAGACTCTGACTCTAAGTCAAAAGGCCCAGGAATCTGCATTCTAACAAACTCTCCCAGATGATTCTGATGTTGGTGGCCCAAGGAAGTGGTCCTTTGAGGAAGCTGAGACTCAAAAAGGTAAAGTGGTTTGTTCCAAGCTACAGAGCCAGTACATGCGAGAGATGGGATCAGGCTAGTTATCTGGGCTCCAAGGCTAGTGTAGTGCTCTACTGTCCTCATTTCTCAGGGCAGAGACAAAGGTCCCCCCTGACATCTTCCCACTCCTGCAGGGACCTTCATGATCTATAGGTTGGACCCTCCCAGGTCTTAAAAGTCAATGGGAAAATCCAAGAGGACCGCTCTATCTGAAAAGATTCTACACCGAGCCTCCTGCTCTCTCTCCTCCAAGGAGAGGGAAGCCCTCCAAAACCCAGGACCCTCCAAAGTTAAGGGAGACCCATTCAGGAGGAAGCCTCTTTATACTGAAAGCTCAGACCCTGGGAAGAAAGAGACCCCATCTTTGCACCTCTACCACTGATAATCCTCTGTGGGGAAATCATAGGCCCCAGGGGAAAGGTGATGGAAAATTGACAAGGAAGAGAGACCACCCCAGTGGGTAAACCAGTATGGATTGCCTGGCCTCTGGGGAACCCAGGGAGGTTCCCTTGCCTGCTCACCAGCTATTCATTCAGTGAATAACCACTGAATGCTTACTCTGGGCCAGGCTGGGGGCTGGGGAGGTGAAGGTGAATAAAACAAGATGCAGGGACTACTCACCTGGAGGGGGATGGAAGTCCCTGGCAGTGCCACCCTGGGACAGTGCTGACTTCTGCCCACCTTGTCTGGTGGAGCTGGCTAGGGGCACGGTAGAATTCTTGGCATTTGAGAAGCATCCTGTGGCAAGGGATAGCAACACTTTCTGCAAAGGAACAGATGGTAATTTTAAGCTTTGATGGTCAGATGGTCTCTATCACAATTACGCAACTCTTCCGTCACAGCTGAAACTCATCTGTAGACAATGTGTAAATAAATGGGCAGGCCGGGCGCGGTGGCTCAAGCCTGTAATCCCAGCACTTTGGGAGGCCGAGACGGGCGGATCACGAGGTCAGGAGATTGAGACCATCCTGGCTGACACGGTGAAACCCCGTCTCTACTAAAAAATATGAAAACTTAGCCGGGCGAGGTGGCGGGCGCCTGTAGTCCCAGCTACTCGGGAGGCTGAGGCCGGAGAATGGCGTGAACCCGGGAGGCGGAGCTTGCAGTGAGCTGAGATCCGGCCACTGCACTCCAGCCTGGGCGACAGAGCGAGACTCCGTCTCAAAAAAAAAAAAAATAAAAAAAAAATAAATGGGCAGGCTTATGTTCCAATAAAACTTTATATACAAAAACAGGGGTCGGTCGGGCCAGATTTGGCCGTCATGCTGCAGTTCATCAAGGGCCTGCCCCTGACACATTAGTGTGGCACTCAAAGTCCTTCCTGGACTGGCCTTGTTCATCCCAGGCTCACCTCCCATCACACCCTCCCCGGCCCTGTCCACCCTCGAGCTGCAGGCAACTCCTCTTCAAATTCCAAACCTTTCTTGCCCTTGAAATGTTTTGGTGTCTTTGCCATTTAGAAGCCACTGCTCCTCCTGCCACCTCTTCCTCTTCTTTCCCCTCTTCCTCCCTGTCTGTATTAATTTTCTAAGGCTGATGTAACAAATTACCACAACCTGAGTGACTTAAAACACAGAAATATATTCTCTTACCATTCAGAAAGCCAGAAGTCTGAAATTCAGGTGTTGGCAGAGATAGCTCCTTCTGGAGGCTCCAAGGGAAAATCTGATCCATGCCTCTCTCATAGTTTCTGGGGGTTCCAGCAACCCTTATCCTTCTTTGACTTGTACACGCATCACTCCACTTTGCCTCCATCTTCTCACACCCTTGCCGTGTGTGTGTGTGTGTGTGTAATGTCCCTTTCTCTTATAAGGACGCCTGTCATTGGAGGTGATGGAAAATTGACAAGGAAGAGAGACCACCCCAGTGGGTAAACCAGTATGGATTGCTTGGCCTCTGGGGAACCCAGGGAGGTTCCCTTGCCTGCTCACCAGCTATTCATTCAGTGAATAACCACTGAATGCTTACTCTGGGCCAGGCTGGGG